ACGTCTCTGACGTGTGAGACACTTGATTTATGCATAGAACGATGGTGGAAGAATAGAAATAGGAAGTGAAAGCTGCAGAGAGAACATTTGAACTTGCACACTTCTCTCAAATGGAAACCTGAGAGGTGCATTTGCGGTTAACAGGTAAAGCGTTTAATTACTAGGGGAGGGAAAATAAAGCGTAATATTATCAGGAGACAGTTCAAATTAAACTTGTGAGATCGAACAATGTAGCCTGTTCTCAACAGAGAGCCCACTCGCTACACACACTCTCCCACCTCTCTGGCCAGAAGAGGAACAGTTTTGGCCTAAAGCGGAGCGGCGCGTGTCGGCGCATGGCCGCTGCGTGCTATAGTCTCCCTTCCAGCCGCCTGTGCGGCGCTAATGTATTCACGACGAGCCGACACCGCTCTGTGGCAGTGCGTTTCGGCGAATATTTCGCACGGAAACGGCACCAAGTATGTGTGCGCTTATGGGAGCTGGAATTGGTCCGAGCTGGTCGCAAAATTGGACGTAGCAGATCTCACAGGCACTGAGTGGATCGTGTGGAACTGGGTTATGTGAATGCCGTGCTGTCTGTCCATGAATGTATAGAACGACGATAGATGCGTCTATAGCTGAAGCGATGTGACACTTGTCATGTAACTAGTTAGCTTGAATCGCACTAGCAAAGAAACCCAGCTGACCGTTGTAGTAAAAGTGACCATATTCAAGCACATGCATAAAAGCCACAAATAAACCAGCACTCTCACTCACTGTCGGGTAAGCATTAATCATATGAAAACCGCAGTACAGCCCACATCTGAATCACAGTGAGTCATGATCCAGCGATAAGTCCATTCAGATTGCAGCCCACTCACCTCACCCAGACGCTCTCCGTCACCGTCGCCTGTCACCGGGCCGTGTTTTTACAGCCGTAAAGCTGACCTATTACGCATAATCGGGGCGAATTTAGTGCGCTGTTTTGACGCACCAGTGGTGGATGCGTGGCCGATGGTGCACGGAATGCGCGAGCGGCGACGTTTTTTGGCGCGCCGTCCTCTTTTGCGCGCCGACTTACGAGGTCATTAGTATAGAAGTTTGACGTTAACTGTCTGCGCCGAGGCATCATCGCAGCGGTCGTATTTCTCGCAAATTGACAGTGACGGGCGATCGCTAGAGAGATGCGAGTGACGCCGGCGGCAACCGAGAAGAAGCTGGCGAGATAGCGTCGTCGTGTGGTAGAATATTTCCAGGTCCTGCAGAGCCAAAGATGTGGCACACAAAAACATGAGTCGTTGTTGAAACTTAACCTCACCAACACATCATAAGGTGCTGCATGAAGTCGAACGGTAACCCAGCGTAAGAAGGTATGCCTGTACGGCATGCCAATATACCAGCTGCTTACATTTGTATTTGTATTTTGTATTTATTCAGTTTATTGCCAACAGGACATATTCCCAATGATAGGCAAAGTCGAGTAGATAAAACACAAACAGTAAATAAATAAATATGCGTCACAACATTACAGATGGTCACTTGTCAGGCACCTGGCTAGTCGTGCGATAATCGTCGCCTTGCCGTCGCAGAACATATCAACGGTAGGGCAGCGTGCAAGAAAAACATTGGTGAGTCTGGGTAATCTACAAAACATGCCGTTTTTAATAGTATTCACTCTGGCGACAGGCTCGAAAAAAGCAGCACGGTAGCGAGTGCTTCTGGATGGTACACGAATAGAGAAACGGCCCAAAAGATACATCGAGTCACATCTACCCTGGATAATGTTATGTAAAAAGACAATGTCATGTTGCTGTCGACGAGATGCAAGCGTCTGCAGTTTAAACAAGTCCAACAGCGCATCATACGACAAATCCCTCGCTTGTCGTCCGGTCGCTGTGCGATGTGCTAACCATAAAAGGAACTTGTGCTGGACACGTTCTATTCTATCTAGGTGTGTACTCGCTGCTCCGGCCCATATCTGCGATCCATATTCTAAGATAGAGCGCACGTTGGCAGTGTACGCGGCCATAATAGCCTTCTCATTCAGGAGTCCGTTCTGTCTGTGACACAGCTGAAATGATCGCATAAGAACGCCTAACGCACGGCGGGCCTTGGAAACAACACTGTCGACATGTGGGGTAAAAGTTAGCTTACTATCTAACATAACACCGAGATCACGCATCGTGTCCAGCTTTTCTAAGACAGTCCCTCTAACTGTGTATACATATTGCACAGGATTTCGCTTTAGAGTGAGTGACATGGTTTTGACTTCGATGCATTCAGGGCCATTCAGGGCCATCTAGCGACATTCCTGTCGCTAGATGGCAATAGCAGTCGACGCCTATAGTTAGGCTGTACCGCATAACACATCAAACGCCTGTAGATAGGCTGTACCGTATGACGTGTCGGACGCTGAAATCTCGGTAGGCATTTGGTGGAACACAACGATTACTGTTTATCTGATCTTTGAACTTGAACCTATACCAATTGGTTTCGGGACTTCGGTGATTGTTTACGAGTTACGATCAAACACAGTTCACAATATTTTTTCTGGTCGACAGACAAATGCGTACCATTTTGAAATCCCTCCCTAACAAAGATAGCAGCCGACACCTCCCCTCTACAAATCCCCGCTCTCCAAATACGTGCGTGACCGTGTGGGCGGCCCGCCGTGTTTCCATAATGAAGAGGCCGGGCGGCCGAGGGCCGGAGCTGACAGCCCGATCTGTCCACCCCTCTGATGACCGGGTGTCGTGCTCGCCCCGCCGACACAGCTTTGTTAGCGGCCACGTACCGGCAGAAAACAGCGGCCATGCCCACCGGCGTATTGATTCGTCGTTACTCCGACCTTGGTTTGACGTGCGATACCTGCCTCGACTGCGGCGGATAATGGCTCCAAAGCGTTTTACGTTGAGCAGGGACTATGTGCTGTACCTAAATTGTTCACGGCCAGGGTTGTCCATTCTCATGTGTTTATGGCGCTATTAACGTCCGCATAGCCTGCATTCCTCGGTCCTCTAATGTTTCTCACACCCAGCCCTGGTGCAATTTTTATGGTTAACCTTCGACAAGTTCCTTATGTATACTGTAGACGTGTGTTGGTACTGCATGTGTGACATGTAACTTATGTAAAGTCAAAGTGTCAGTCAAATTGTTGTGCTGGTGCTTATCGTATAAGACACTCAACAGCTCGTAGGCTATTTGTTTTTATTTTTATTTTTTTTGCTGACTTACCTGCAACATTTGCTCTTTACTACCTACTAAATTTGTTCTGTGCAAATTGAAGTTCTGGTCTATGTATTGTTATCAATGATACCTATAGTATCACTGCATTTCACAAGGAACAGAGTTAATTTATTCAAATGACATCCAAATGCATTTCATTCCGTCTCATGTATCAGTATCGAAGTTCGACATGGCAACGGGTGCATTATTTCTCGAGACAGTAGGTTCAGTATTACACGCCTGTCTGCTGGCAATGTAGCGCCTTATCCCGGCCAGGCTGTGCGGACATAACCTTATCTCGAGCTTCGATTCCATTAGGGTAGCCAAGTTGAAATGGCAATGGCATTTCGTAGTCACAGGCGACCTTTAAATGACTTGAAACGCTGAAATGTGACTGGTGAAGTGCCATCTATCTCTCTGCAGGTGATATTTCACCAGACGGTGCATTAGATTCGCCCAAAGCCAATGAAGGACTGTCCCGAGGGAGATGAAGGTCTGATAGTACCCGAATATCTAATTCTGAAGTAAGGGACAGAAAAGTGTTATCATTGACGGCAAATAGAGAAAGGCGCAATCGTCTCTAAATAGCGTTTCCAAACATCATTACACTCATATGAATGTAAAGAACTTCAATGGGATCAAACAACGGACACTGAAGCGAAAGAAGCTAATAAAGGAAACACCAAACCCATTTGTGGTAGGTCCCAATGTGGCGCAGATGTCCCAATGCAGCTCTCTTCACCTCTTCACGGGCAAACAGTCGAAGTATTACTGAGACTGGGTAGTGGGCAACGTCTCGTACATTTGTGTTCGTCACTATAAAAACGGTGCGTAATGAACAATGATTGAATGATTGAATGAATTGTGAATGAATGCATGATACGCCCAATGTAGTTCCTGAACTCTGCGGAACCTTTAGCATCAACTGGGCTCATCTGAAGCTTTGATTAATCACCACGTTCGGCTTTTCGTGGAAACGTTGAATCAAGGACCCCAATTTGAAGCAGCTCTTCAGCCGACAAGTCTAAAGTTGAAATAGTCAGATGTTATTTCCTTTCCAGCTAAGCATGTAAAGGTCAACGTTCGTTCGCTTTATTGCGCCGAGACTTGAGAAAGTTTTATTTACTTAAGATAATTATTTAAGATTTGTCAAAAAGATGGCCTGACAGCACAAACATCAAACATCAACCGTGCCTTCTGTGACACAACTTCAACGCTGTCACAATATCTGACCTACGCCGTTCCGCTCTATGTGGAACCAAAGACATTTTGCCTGCGACAAAAGCAATAACAACGAACTTTAGTTCCGGGACTGGCTTCGTCTTATACCAACCGAATCACGCTCTTGCCGAGCGATGAATTGGGCGCCGCCTGTTAGTCGATGTGTTAACTACCTCACTCTGTGGTGCGAGTTTCAAACTGTGCAGATGCTACGCTGCACCTCGCTGCGCTAAAAAAATGTGCTGAATCAACCTCGTTTTCCGCTGCGCTTACATCGGTGCTGAGACAGCTCTTCTAACCGCTGATCTGACTACACAGCTAGACGATGGTCTCTGCTGGTGCTGACTGCATAAATGACCGTTGACCTGTATTTATCGCTTGTTTTATAACTGTTGGTCTATGTCTGACCTTATCGTTTTTGTCTGCATCTAGCCGTTGTTCTGTGACTGCTGCTGACTACGTTGCCTGGCCAGTGTCCTCTGTCTGTCGTTCCGTGGTTGCTGACCACCTATCTGACCGCCTGCCTGTGACTGCTGACCACTCATCTGACCATTGGTCTCTGTTCTTTTTCTCAGCTGGAAACGGCAGACGGTCGTCGGCTCTACGACCTGGTGGTTCGACCTCCGGCGGGCGGTGGTGGCGGCGGGGACGGAGAGCCTCCCTGTGACTGTGCCGGCCCGCCGCCGCCCCAGTTTCTCCTCCCCCCTCCGCCGGTGGACCCCAGCTGGGCGGCCGACGACGAGGACGTCTGTGATATCGTGGCCCCCTACCAGGTCTGCCGGGGTCTGACGGTACGTGATCGGTCCACCCGGACCACCCCAGGGGCACCGCTAACCCGACCCGGCACGCCGGTCACGTCCCGCCGTCAGCCGGAGACGAGTGTTATCCCACATCATCCGGCCGGCAGCAGACCACTATCCCACCGTTAGTCCGTCAGACAGCCGCTCTGATCCACAGACCAGTAGGAGCCTCCATCAGTCTGATACGCCCCGGTGTGACGGGTCGAACCGCCGCCCCCGCCCAGTAGCCGAGACCCGACACCTCCGCCCCCGCCCACAGGAGCGGGCGGCGCGTGCAGCCGCCCCCGCCCCCGTCTTCGACCTCGTCCGTCACCGGGCGCGGAAGGCGCCCGCTGTGCCGTATCAAAATACCCTGATTGATAGCGGAAAATCGGACCGGCGGTTGAAACAGCAGCGCCCAGCTGACAACAGAGAGCAATCTGATCTGTGATAGGGCCGATTTCAGGGCCATCGGCCGCTGTTGCGTAGTGTTGGGTGTCGGTGCGGAGGGCGGGCCAACCAGCAGAAGGGCGGACTAAGTGTTTTTCGACAGGTGTTAAAGGCCGTGCGGTGGTGTCATCGCTCGGTGATTTGGTGTACTAACAGCGGCCGGATCCGCCTCTGAGCCGTGCTGATCGGTAGTGAAAGAGGGAGGCCACCTGCCACTCGTGTGATACGGTGTGCTGATGGTGTCTGCTATGGGCCCCGAACGGCTTAAAGTTGGCTGAGTAGCGACCTTTTACAGGTCTTAAAAACTCGATGACTGTCATATCTGTCTGATTTGCGAAATTAGTTAAACCTTTCGAACAAAAACGGCTATCATCGGACATAGATTCGGGAAAAGTTCCCTATGAATCGTTTTCCATGAATGGACAGTGTAGTGGCATGAGGTAAATGAAATTCATAAACGACTCATACGATCACAAAATCCAAACAAAGATAAGTCAAAAATGCCAGCAATAGATAAAGCAGATAAATTGAAGGCGGGAATTTCTGCACATAGAGGAATCACATGTGTGTGTGTGTATTTTAGGGTCCTTTTTGTGCGTTATAGTGCCCTTATCTCTGTCTTATCTTGGTCTGTTCTCTATCTCCCCTCTCCCTTTCTCCTCTCCTGACTCTCAACTCATAGCGGCGACGCGGCTATGGAAGGTTAGGACCCTGCCCGGGCGCCACTGAACGTGACCGGAGCAAAGGGAGACGGGGGTCGGAGACAGATAAATCACCCCGCCGACAGACGCGGGGCAGACCCTGACCGGGGTGGTGCGAAGGGGAGTGTAGGAACGGGCGCGCCGCTGGCAGGAGAGCCGAGAGGCGCGAACGGCAGTCGTCGACTGCGACGGACGGCGAGCGGAGCAGAGAGTGGGCGAGAAGTGAGCTAAGGAATCCGTGCGGAGTGCCAACGGCTACGAGGATTATCCGATCACGCACTCCTTAACGCCGACATGGCCGCCGGCGAGTGGAGCGGAGAGCGAGCGAGAAGGGAGCCAGGGAAGCTGTGGGGAGTACCAACGGCTACAAGGATTCTATGGTCAGGCACACTAACGCCGGCACGGCAGGTGAGGCGTATCGAGCACGGCTCGGGGGTACGTACAGCGGAGTGCGGTTCCTTGGCGGCTACACCACGAGGATGGTTGCCCGGCGACTGACGCGGCGCCACCATGAGGATGGTTTCCCCGGCGACTGACGCGCATCTATTCAGAGGCATATTAAGCGCACACGCAATCGTAAAGGAAACCGGGGAGCCTGGTAGGCACGCTTTGAAGGGTCGTGCAACGCGGCACCCCAACCTGCGACGCGATACACACAAAACACCTGGTTCCGGCCACCCTACAACTCATGCACACACATCAGGTCCGCCGCCGACCCCTCGGCTACTCTGCAACTGCAATGCGTCCGACGCCCCGGCTACTCCGCACTGCACATACATCAGGCCCGCTGCCGACGCCTCGGCTACTCTGCAACTCACGCACATACATACTCATGCACATGCATCAGGTCCGCCGCCGACGCCTCGGCACGCACATACATCAGGTCCGCCGCCGACGCCTCGGCACGCACATGCATCAGGTCCGCCGCCGACGCCTCGGCACGCACATGCATCAGGTCCGCCGCCGACGCCTCGGCAACTCTGCAGTAGAGATGTCCTCGGATATAACTTTCGGTATACCGATACCATACTGGTACCAACTCGGTACTTGCTAATTGATTCCTAATGTGTTCGGTATTTTGTTGGTATAATGCACCTTAGGTTGGTACTTGGTTTGGTATCGGTATTCCGATTTTCCGTAGTCGACGTCCTACTCTGCACCGCACATACATCAGGTCCGCCGCCGACGCCTCGGCACCCACACGCATCAGGTCCGCCGCCGACGCCTCGGCTACTCTGCTGTAGAGATGTCCTCGGATACAAATTTCGGTATACCGATACCATAGTGATACCAACTCGGTACTTGGTATTTGATTCCTAATGTGTTCGGTATTTTGTTGGTATAATGCACCCTAGGTTGGTACTTGGTTTGGTATCGGTATTCCGATTTTCCGTAGTCGACGTCCTACTCGGCACCGCACATACATCAGGTCCGCCGCCGACGCCTCGGCACGCACATGCATCAGGTCCGCCGCCGACGCCTCGGCTACTCTGCAGTAGAGATGTCCTCGGATATAACTTTTCGGTATACCGATACCATACTGATACCAACTCGGTACTTGCTAATTGATTCCTAATGTGTTCGGTATTTTGTTGGTATGCACCCTAGGTTGGTACTTGGTTTGGTATCGGTATTCCGATTTTCCGTAGTCGACGTCCTACTCTGCACCGCACATACATCAGGTCCGCCGCCGACGCCTCGGCACGCACATGCATCAGGTCCGCCGCCGACGCCTCGGCTACTCTGCACTAGAGATGTCCTCGGATACAACTTTTCGGTATACCGATACCATACTGATACCAACTCGGTACTTGGTATTTGATTCCTAGTTAATGTGTTCGGTATTTTGATGGTATAATGAACCATAGGCTGGTACTTGGTTTGGTATCGGTATTCCGTTTTTCCGTAGTTGACATCAATACACTGCACTGCACATACATCAGGTCCGCCACCGACGCCTCGGCTACTCTGCAACCCACGCACACACATCAGGTTCGCCGACAACGCCCCGGCCACTCCGCAAATCACGCACATACATCAGGTCCGCCGCCGACGCCTCGGCTACTCTGCAACTCACACACATGCATCAGGTCCGCCGCCGACGCCTCGGCTCCTCCGCTACTCATGCACACACATCAGGCCCGCCGTCGTATAGCCTCAGCCACCCCGTGGAATCTGCACCGGCATGGGTCGAGAATATGGTATGGCAGGCATGGCACGCGCCACACCAACTTAAAAGATGGTATGGCAATGCCATACCAACTTTTCAGGGTAAAAGCTACGAAATTTAAGGATTTCAGTTTGATAAGAATAAAACACGATAGTATTGTTTCGAGCAACTGGCGCCATACCAACTGTGAAAACAATTCTCCACCCATGTTCGCACGTACATGAGGTCCGCCGCCGAAGCCTCGGCTACTCTTGCAAATCACACACATGCATCAGGTCCGCCCCCGACGCCTCGGTTACTCTGCAACGGCACATACATCAGGTCCGCCGCCGACGCTTCGGCTACCCTGCAACTCACGCACACGCATCAGGTCCGCCACTGACGCCTCGGCTACGCTACAACCCTTGCACGTAAGTACATCAGGACCGCCGCCGACGCCTCAGCTACTCCGCAACTCATGCACATACATCGGCCCCGCCGCCGACGCCTGGGCTGCACTGTAACCCCTGCACACATCGGGTCCGCCACCGGCGCTTCGGCTAATCTGCAACCCATGCACACGCATCAGGCCCGCCGCCGACGCCTCGGCTACTCTGCAACTTACAGGCGCCAGGTGCGCCGCCGTCACCTCGGCCCTCTGCAACACGGTAGGCACTTAGCTTACTAAAGCGCATTTTAGTGACATCAGAGCCTGAGTCGATCGCCGGCGACCTGGTCACTCGTGGAGGTTCACCGCCGTACCGTACAACACGGAACGCAGACCATTTAGTCACGCCGGCGATTCGATCGGAGTCTGGCAGGCGTAGTTCAGACACGCTATTGTCATCGCATATAACATCTTGCCACGAAACCTGACACGAAACCTGCCTGGGAGCCGCTTCAATAGCGAGATAAAGCAGCACTTGTTGACGAGGCAACGTGGCGGGGTTGGTTAGATGGGATAATGCCCCTTGTCAAAACAGACCACGCTTCGAGAAGCGCTTCCGAACGCAACCTGATGGACATACGCTGCCGCAGAAACACATCTCAGCCAGTCACCTTGGAGGCTCGGTTTAGCACTCAAGGAGTCTCTTTGTAAAAAGGTCTCAAAGCATTTTCTAAGTGGCCGCCTCCGTATTTCTGCAAATCGACATACGCATACATCCGGTCCGGCGCCGACGCCTCGACCACTCTGTCTACACTACACACCTGGTCCGCTGCCGACGCCTCGGCTACTCTGTCTACACTACACACCTGGTCCGCTGCCGACGCCTCGGCCACTCTGTCTACACTACACACCTGGTCCGCTGCCGACGCCTCGGCCACTTTGCGCTTAACACACACGCACACACACACACACACACGCACCCCCCCCCCCCCCACACACACACATACACACCCGGTCTGCGTCATGCTTCGGCTGCTCTGCAACTCGACAGGCATCTAGCTATCGACAGACTATGAACTTCTTTCGTCAAATGTCCGAAACACTGGGCTCAACGGTGGCAGACGAGACCGAACGAACAATCCGCACACACTGAGAAAACAGTTTCTCCATTTTCGGTCTCAGAGATCAGTTTCGGGCTAATGTCCCCGATTCAAAACAGATCACACATTTTGAGAATATTTTCTGAGCAACGCCATTGATCGCAGAAACAGAGCTCAGTCGGTACCTATTTTCGGTGTCAAGCTTTTAAAAATTAGTCTCACTATGAAACCAGTTTCCAGTCCGAACCCCAGTTTCGGTATCGCTTGAATCCAGTATTCGGGTACATGAGCCCTTAGGAAGCCTTACTGAAACCGTTTTAAAATCAGACACATTTGAGGCTGGTTTCAGCGCTCATGTGCGGTCATATGAGCACGTAAACCGGGTCCGCCGCCGACGCCGCGGCTAAGTTGCGCGCAACATAGGTCTACGGGACCGCTGCCGACGACTAGATAATCTGCAGCACGATATCAAAGGCGAAACCAGGCCACGGATCCCAGATTCGCGGCATTCCATTTTAGCCAGCACCGATGACGTCGGTTTAGGCGCCGGGAAGCGTGCCGGGCTAAACATCACAACCCCGAGGCCGTGAACACGGGGGTCCAAGACCGACACGAGGACAAAACCATCGGATCGGACCCCCCCCCCCTCTCACCGCAGTGTGTCCAGGCATGGCTTCACACACACCGGAATATCAGCGAACGACACGGCAGGGCCGCCGGGAACCACAGTCGCCCCTCCCCCCCCTCCCCCAAGGCCGCCCGCGCCGACCGCCAGTCAGAGAAGACAGCCATCGGCGGAGCCAGAGCCGGCCGCCGGCCGCTGGCACAGCCCCGGCACCGCCATGACACCGGACCGGCTGATGAGACAGTCAACGCCGGGGCAGCCGCGGGCCCGCCTGCCGGTACTGTCCGCGGGGCCACAGAGGCCCACAGTGGGGCCGCCACGGTCCTCAAACCGGGCGACAGCGGCGGGACGGGCCGCCCGCCGCAACCTGATACCAGCCGACGCCGCACGACCCGGCTCCCCCGCTGGTCCCCCGGCGGCCACGAGAGGCAGACGACTAACGAACACCCCGAACACGGTCACGTTCCATTAGTGGGTCGCGGCGCCCCCACGCCGGTCGACAGTGAGTCACTGGCGGCACTGTGCGGGGAGTATGGGGTCCAGTCACAGCTGACTCAGGACGGGAGCCGACCTTGGGGTGGAGGGAGTCCCTCGCCGCCCCGGTTCACACTAACTAATGGTTCGAGTACCCAAACTCACCACCAAGAGCCATGCCGCAATAACAGACCGGGCATCGCCAGCGGAACACACTGGGAACCTTTCCGCATGCGGCATGTGCCCGGATTCGTGGTCAAACCATTAACTGCTCAGCAGAGATCGAGAAAGGTGTGGGCAGCGGACGCTTAGCCTAAGACTTTTTCATTCCATTGCATTGGGTGTATTTGGCGTTTTTTAGGGGCCGTCCCCCTACAAACGAGCCGACGCGAGTGGTTTCGGCCGCTGACAGCCAACTGAGGCGAACGCTTGGTGATAGTGGCGCGGGCAACGGGGGCCTAATCAACTCATAGCGGCGACGCGGCTATGGAAGGTTAGGACCCTGCCCGGGCGCCACTGAACGTGACCGGAGCAAAGGGAGACGGGGGTCGGAGACAGATAAATCACCCCGCCGACAGACGCGGGGCAGACCCTGACCGGGGTGGTGCGAAGGGGAGTGTAGGAACGGGCGCGCCGCTGGCAGGAGAGCCGAGAGGCGCGAACGGCAGTCGTCGACTGCGACGGACGGCGAGCGGAGCAGAGAGTGGGCGAGAAGTTTCCCACCCACCCTCACCTATTTAATAGATGCGACTTCGAGATTCGTCAAACCTACATATCCTTAATCCCGACCATATACCTCGTCGTTATCACTCCGTCGGTGCGTTTTTTAGGGGCCGTCCCCCTACAAACGAGCCGACGCGAGTGGTTTCGGCCGCTGACAGCCAACTGAGGCGAACGCTTGGTGATAGTGGCGCGGGCAACGGGGGCCTAATACTACGCTATGTGCCCGGGTGGACGGCGCTGTTGGCCTCACCGCGCTGCCCTATCATCTCCTTGTATTTACCTCAGTCCCGTGTTTGCTGTAGACATATACGACGGTCGCTTTCACGGCTGTATGCCTGCCTTTCACCGGGTGATATGGAGCCACCCGAGACCCTCCCCTACTCAGGTGTACTCCTAGGAACGTTTTATCCTTGTGTGCATTGGTAATGTATATTATGTTTACAAATAATGATCCCCAGAAAGTAAGATAGGCTGTCGTTTGACCAATGCCGACTATGATAAAGACGTTTCGCCATTGGTCTCCGATTGGTGAGCCTGTCGTATTGGTATTATAGAAAATCACCAAACTAATCCTGTTTGTGTTGTTGCAGGGTGGCACCACTGGTGCTGGCGGCACCACTGGTCTACCTATTCTGGCTGTGGTGCTCACCGCTTCAGGGCTGCTACTGGTGCTGCTTCTCGTCGCCGCATTGCTCTTCTGCAGGTGAGCTCTCTAGAAAATACGACATTCATAAGTCCTTGGAAATAGAGCGGGCAATGTTATGTCGGCTTGGCTGGAGCCATGCATTAAATAGGCACAAAGTGTCAAGGCACATGGTGTTTTGATAGGCTGGTGGATACGTTTAATTACGCAGCATAGCTGAAATTGAAAAGCCTAAAGTCTGCAAAGCCTTCCTGGTATCAATACAATACCAAAAGCGTTTCGGTGTGTGAATTAATTTAGCTGTCACAATACTCGTGCAATTTTAATCAGCACATTCAGGTGTGCGATTTCGCTGATAAGCGCGAATTCAATGCTTCCTCGAATTCACACAAATGTTCATAACGAATTTATGTGAGCCTCAAACGAATGACGAACTTACGTTTTCCGTTCACTTTTTTCATAGGTTTTTGCTCTATCCGCTCTATTCTCCTTTTCCCAATGCACCCGTGTTTCGTGAATTTATTATTACGGTTGTGGGTTTATCACGATCTGTTACGCCAGTCGCTCGGTTCGTGACGACAGTGTGACAGTGACGGATGAAGCCGGCGTCCGTGACGCCACTACCAAAGTTTGCCGAGTGCCGTGCATGCTTGTGGACAAGAAACTCGTTAATCTTTGAGTGTGCATGCAACCGCTTGATGAGGTTTTGATGCACGAAACATTCGCGTGGCCACGATGGAATTACAACGGAAATTCAGAGACCCTAAAACGACGCATTGTTAGTTGTGGGGAGTGCGTCATCCATGCCATATTCGTGCTGCGGTTATAGCTGAGGTCTGGTCCCACCCACGAACATCCAGAGGTTATTGACTTAACGACCTCGCTGGTCGCAAGTCGTGACCTAAGTCTCCTCGAGCCGTCATCAAGGAGATTCCCATTCGCGACGGACCAGCCCCGTGGGCAGAAACGTCCACAGAGCCGGCGACTTCAGCTCAGAGGACAAATGGACGTGTCACCGGGCCGCCGGACCTCTGATGCGATTCCGATGGTGCGGCTCGGCCCGGGAGGAACGGCCACGGATCTGCCACCGGACGGCTGCTCACCGGCGCCAGATGAACTCATAAATCGGCCTAATTGATGACCCCAGTCACCGCCGACGGCTCCGGTCGGTCGTCAATGGCTGGGGCCGGTGGCTCGGAGCAGAGGACTGTGTTCGGATGTCGCCTGCAGCAGCGGCGCCCCTCGGGCTCGCGGTGCCAGTCACTGCGGCGGCCAGCCCCAGCTGCCAGCTGCCAGCTGCCAGCTGCCAGCTGCCAGCTGCCAGCTGCCAGAGTGACGCGGCGCCGCGCACAAAACTGGCGCCAAAGTAGGGCGGTGGTGCTCGCGCTCCGGTGGCGCCCGTCGTGCCCGTCGTCAGCGTCGCACGCATCGCGCGGACGGTGACGATTGGCGACGGGTGTGAAGAAGTCGGCACCTCGTCGGCAAGAAGTGACGCACGCCGGCCGATATCGGCCGAGAAGCTGCAACAAAAGCGCGCAAAAACCGTCAGCGGGTGCGCTGCGGTGTGGCAGTCCGGTGATGCAGCCCAGTCGGCGCCGCGGCCCAGTGAGGCAGCCGTGCAGCTGCGGCTGTTTTTCCACGGGCTCGCGGCGGCGGCAGGCTGGCAGTCTGCTGTCGGGACCGCGCCGTCTCGCCATCCAGCCTGGGCCGGTGCCAGAGGGGCCGCGCGCCGGTGGGCCGCGCCGCGCTGTCGAATCCACCCGCGGCCAGTTTGCACGGCGTTAAGCTGAGAACTAATTGGGTTCGTGCCTGCACGCTCCGGTGACCTGTCTCTCTGCGAGGTCGGCGGGGACGGTGATGAGCTCAGAACGCGCACCTGTGCCGCGTCCGGCCGGCAGAAATAGAGAAATGTAAACACGTGCCTGCCCGAGGCTCTTTTTCTGTCGGTGTATCAGACGTGTTGTTGCTGATTTTCGATGCCTTCGCTTCGCCTGACCGCCGGTGGGAGCGGCGAACGACAGCTCAATGGACGAGAGAGACCGATAGTCGAAGAGGAATGAACTGAATGAAGTTGTTGCGCCACCACGAACATCAATTAAATGTCATTTTCGTATGCAGATTTAGCTTCAAACCGCAAGCTTTTGTAATTGATCTTTAGTGATTTTGACGTGACATCAAACGTGCTTTGCGTAACTTCTCATTATGCATACTTTGGCAGACTTCCAGGCACGTGTGCTGGATTTCGTTCTTTCAATCAGCGGGCAACTGCGCTGATCTGATATCTGTGCCACCCGAAGAGTTCTCTACATGAGACGTTGATGCCATGCTATTTCAATATGGTTTCAATATGGTGTAACCACAACGCTATCACGTAGTGATAGCGTTTACGCCCTTCATGTCTCCACATCTTAACCCTAGAACGCCTAGGGGGGGGGGGGTTGTATCAACCCCCCCCTGAGGTTTTTTCGAAGTGCACGCTAAACGGCTTGTCGTAGCGGGCTGAAATTTTCAATACCCTCTGGGGCAGCCTTTGCGCATCTTTTGCCGAAAAAAAATTGATCGGGTCATGTCAGGTCACGGAGTTATGACGTCATAAGAGGTACAGCCTCCGGCCGGATTTTCACAAACTGAGTGCCAACGCCCGAGGTTTCCTGCCGGTGGTACGGACATCGGTTGATGGATCGTGATGAAACTTCCCATGCATGTTGGGGCAAGTATTGGCTATCATATGGTATAAGAAATTTGACCGGGTCAGGTCAGGTCACGGAGCTATGACGTCACAAGAGGAACAGCGTAAGGTACTATTTTTGAAAAGCGCCCGAACCACTATTTTGCTACTTCTTGTCACCTCAATGGGAATATGCAGCAATATTAGCTTCTATAGGGAGCAAATGAACCTCCCAAATCCAAAAATACAATCAGATTTCAAAAATTTAAATTTTTATTTTTCGAATTTCTGCCGCCGACTGTGACCTTGCCGACTTCCGGCGCTCCCAACGCGCCATTTTTAGAGCTAGGGAAACGAAATACATACCAAACGATAGAGAATTGATCAAGGAACACGATAGTGAAGGTTTCAAGTCGATATCCCCCACCGTTTTGCCGCAATCGCCGCCGAAAGTTGAAAAAAAGTCTATTTTTCCGAAAATTTGACCTTTGACCGGTCAAAAGTAGGTCAAATGTTGACCTAGGACCAAAAAATATACCACCAATCGCGAGATCTCGTTGAGAGCAATCCGTTGGTTTTTTCCGCTAAGCTCTACGACCTTCCGTTTCGAAACGCCAGGGGGGGGGGTCGTAACAACCCCCCCCCCCCCCTGGTCGTTCGTGTTATGAGAAATGGCCTGGTCGTGCGAGGGTTAATGTCCCGTTTATTTCACAGGTACCGACGGAGGTCACGAGGCTCGCTTTCCAGCAAGGGTTCGGGGAAGCGAGCTGACACTTCTCTCCTGTACGACGGCCTACCTGTGCAGACTCAGGTCATCCCCAACAACCTGCGGTCGAACGGGCACGGACCTCACATCGAGGTAAGGATGATGTCAGAGGACAGGTTTACCTACTGCCCTAGTACCGGGAGCTACCTGGCCAGGTGGGGTGTGTTTGAACTGGCGTCGGGCGTGCTCCCGTCAGGGGCCTGATAACCTGTTTACCTCACACACGTGCTCGCATGCGCCGTGGGCGCATTGTGCCGTCATTTCTCTCCGACAAACAGACCTATCTCGTGATAGCACGGATTACACGCCATAAACTCATCAGCGGAGAGCAATTACGTGCCGGGGAATTACAATGCGTCGGGCGAGTGACGGCTACCGACCCTCCCGAGCGCCGGCCGCCGCCGGTTCATGATAGATGGGATCCTTATTACACTCATTGCGACTGAGAGTCGAGTTCCGAGATCCATCGTTCATGCTCACTGTTCCCTATCGTCTGCCCGTCCGCTCCATTGCAGGCGACTCACTTTATCAAACATCCTTCCGGTGGACCCGGGCGACACAAGGAGGAAATATCCGTCTGTGTTTAGCGTTTCCGTCTGGTGTTCTCCCTTCACACTCGATACAGTTTCCGAGTGTCAACCGACGCCTCCCGGTGTTCCCCACCGGTCATAGCCCGTGTTCGGGTCATCCCTGCCCAAACTCGGCGGGTGTGGAGGCCGGTTTCCGGCGAGAACCGACTACACTTCCGCTGGGAACGGCGCCGGACTCCGCCCCGCCCCGCGGTGCCGGTCGTGGGAGGCGTTCACACGCAGCTGGCAGCGCGCTTTACTGACTCCAGCCGCGTCGCTGGCCGCCTCAAGACTCAGCGTAATCACTTTGTTTTCGCCGGACACGAATTTAGTGTGCCACATGTCGAGATACGACTGGACAGAAAACAGCTTTGCGAGCTAATCCTGGAGCGTCCGGCCTTGCCCCCGAGCACTTGGTGGGAGACGGCAACATCATAGCGGCGGCAACAAAAAACACTCCCGCGTGTTTGGTTTTCGCCGACATACTCACTCTTCTCGCTCGGTTTAACCCGCTACATTCTCTCCTCTCCCCCCGGATTCTGCGTCACCACTCGAGCTGTCGTTGTGTGACGCTCTCCGCCGCGCCGGAAGCAGCTTTGAACTGCCAGCACCACCCCCGTTACGGCCCGCTGCCCGGGGGCCGGAACGCTCCGGGCGACACGACTTCAAACGTCGCTGCAGTTTAGTCGGGAGAGGTTCACCGCCCCAGTCCCAGATTCAGGCTCAAGCCGCCACCGACCCGGCTGAATTACCGACGCCGCCACCGGCCAAACGAAACATACTGCCGGAAAATCGGGCTATTGCAGCCATACCACAGGCTATAGTTAGACGGTCCGGTATTGTTTTGTTTTGTTTTAACTCAGCGGGCTTGTTTGTCTCGGCTCACTGGGAATATCAATCTTGGTGGGGTAGCCGGCTTTGTTCCCGAGGTTAACAGGAAATGGCAGCTGTTCGGATCAAGCCATTGCAGTTTATGTGGAAAGGAAAAGGTAGAACATACGTCAACAACAGCGGTGGCGTGAAATTGATTTCGTCTACGACGTTATTGAATCGTCAAGGGATCTTACACATTTACTTCTACGCATTTTACTTCTGAAAATAAGTTCTTTGGGGCAAAAAAATGTGAAATATAACCATTTTAACTTTGTTATTTATCTTTGAGTCTTAATTAGTGATAGTATTAAATATGATTTAGATAATTTAAAATAACATAAATTCCTGTTATAATTTGAAAATAGTATTTAGAACAATCAAAATTCAAAATGTTTAAAATACTAGTAATTGGTCCACAACTCTATTAAGAAAGTTGCAATGGGAAGTCACAAGAAAGTTGCAATGGGAAAATTTCGGATCAATATAATCCATTCTTGCAGCACCTGTCCTTGACATTATGCCTTTTAAGTTTGGCTAAAGAGCATGGGGCAAGCCGCCTGCGAGCTGCATACGTACACTAGCAGAATTGGACCCATCGACCCACTCGTCTGGCCATCCATTCTCGTCTCTGAGGTCCTGCAGAGCACCGCCCAGACGATAGAAGGCCCCTGTCCCACATCTGATCTCCAAGCTGAGACGCATGTTTCGTCCATGCGGAAATGGACCAGTTGCTGCAGGCAGGGTCCATGCCGTCCTGCCTGGCTGGACCGAGTGGCCATCCAGACCCGACCAGACGCTGCACGTGCGCGGCTATTCAGCGGCCGTGATGCGTGAACAGTGCCGCTGCAGCCGGTGGCGGCGGCTTTTTGTTGCTCTCCGCCGGCCCTGGTGTGCCGCCCGGACTCGGGGCGACTGTCGCAAGGCTCGTTGGGTTTCATTCTCTGGCGTATTTTAATTAGTGGTGCAGCCGGCCGGCCGGCGTCCGTCTGAGCTGATGAAGGCTGTCTGGGGGAACAGACGGCGCCGCGACGCGGCCTCCAGCTATACAGAGTCGGAACGGAACGGGACGGGACATTTGTCGGATTGGACGAAATTAGACACGGCATAAATGCTTCCAAGTTGGCTCGTAGCAGCGAATCGATGAGGTTTTATTTCAGAGCTGAATGGCCTCTGCCGACGTTTGAGGTTGGCCTGATGAGCGATGGCTTCTCTGCCATGGGGAAGGAATAGTGTGGTGCGAGTTCTTTGATAACTGTAATTCTAGACCGAGCTGAAACATTTTCGGCCTCAAAGTAGCGGAGAAACGCCAGTCCAATAGCTTCTCGCAACAACCCTTTTCAGTTTTAATACGTTTCCTTTGTAAGCCGAAAGCCATTATAGGATCGTGCAGTTTCATGAATGTGCCTTAATTGAAGAGGCGGAAAAGTTTTAAGCTTCTGCTCCAAGTCATTATGAGTCGTGCGTGTGCCGCTCTTCAGCTGATCCCTCCTAAAAGCCGGGCCCAAATGGAAACTCTTCTCCACACGACCCTGCGACAGGGTGTGGGGGTGCCATCTCGCACCACGACAAAGAGATGATCAGTTCCATCACCGGCCTCCTCTTCTGCAGCTAGAAACGTCGTCATTCTGAGGACTCTGCCCCAAAGCGCAGCATTTAACTCATTGGGGGGCGAAACAATAGCTGCTCGGAGTTGGGTGTAATTGCACGCGCTTATTGCACCAACTTTGGCGAAGCGATTCGAGTGCCAACTGCATTGTGCCGTAATTAAAATTTAACCAGCCGACTGCTATTGCTCGAACTGCACCGCCAACCTGCGAGAACCATTTCAAAGTTGGAGCAACCATTATCCCGATTCCGTTCACTGAGGCGGTGGAAAATGATTATGGCTTTCCAGAAAATAGCATTTAGGTGCAATGAAACCAGAGCAGGTACACCACTACAGACGAAGCCTTATGGATTTCAATACGAACAGACTTGATTGCAATGAGACCTAAACGCTCGATGTTTCTGCAAATGTACGACATGTCTTTCTGCGGTAACTGATTTTACCGTTTTGATTTCTGAAATAGTACCTGTAAAAAACACTGAAGGCTTGTAAAATGCTGTCTTCACTGAACCCGTTGTTTTAAATGCCACGCTGAATAACTGAGCTGCCATGGCGCACCCGTTTTTAAGTTGATGTCTGTAAAGGCCCACCGTGATTCCATATGCAGTTCCCGATGTTCTGCGCTACACTGCAGTCCTGTGCTACATTCCCCCTGGTACACGCCCAACTCTGTTTCAGCGAGTGACAGCGAAACCCCACTGTGTCTGTGGTACCCACGCCCAGCCCTGTTTCTGTTATCGCAGTAAATCCCGCTCTGCTGTGCTAACCCCCACGTTCCTCTGTGTTTCAGATGGTGGCTGTGAAGGGCCAGTGCGCCCAGCTCCTGCCCGGCAGCAGGGGCGGTGTGGGTGCGCTGTTTGTCAGTCCTCCACCTCCGTCGCTTACCGATGACGGCTCAGAGCCGCTGTCAAACATGTACGAAGAGATCCCTTACTACGGTACGTAACCGAGAGGGGAACAGATTTCGGCTTCGCATGCTGGCCGGCGACACAATAAAGACGGGGGCGAGACGGGAGACGGCGTCTGTTTTAGGCTATAGGGTAGGTTGTAGGTCTATTTGGACATTTGCAATTCGCCGATTTTATCTCGCGGTTCTGCCAGACGGTTGCCTCGGCTCGAATGGGTAAAGTTTCACAATGGATCGGGTTTCATCGGACGCTCAAAAACGTCGCCATAATTTTGTCGTGCCAACAGTTTTATTGCCAGTCTGTTAAACGGTGCTCAGATGGCCCGAAGCAGTTACGATTGTTTACGATCTGTGTGCTTGAAGACCAATGGCCCATGATAAATCGCACAATGATCGCAAATATTGCTGCTTTGTGCTCTGATTTCACAGTGGATCTGTTTAGTTATATAGGGCTATGGAAATGCAGCATGCTAACCCAGGTGTTGGTACTACGCTGGCTGAAGTTACAAAAAAAAAAATGATTGATCGTGATTGTTTTAGGACATCACACATCCAACAATAGTTCAACAATGCACTCCGAACAGAATGTAGGACCCAAGCCGGGTACTTTATCTTGTCTGGCCATATGTTCTGCTCTTACACTCACTCCATCTTGATCTCTAAACGACGAGGCATGTGCATTTTGGCTCAAAGATCACCATTCACCAAAGCGTAGGTGGGCTTTTGTTCAGTGCTGAGCTACTTTATAACGTGATTCCTCTCTGTCCACCAGGTCGCCGGGTGCCATCGGAGCCTTACTACTCCGACTCTGAGGAGGACATCATCAGTCGGCCGTCGGAGGAGGAGCTGGGTGTCGACGGAGGCGGAGGTGTCCCGCGACCCTCCTACCTACCCACCGCCGAGCCGCGCTACGTCAGGACGCTCCCCTCGGGCCCGGCTGGCGGTCAGCCCCGCTACCACAGCAGCCAGCCGCGGCCGCGCAGCGCCGACCGGCGGCGACGGTCCCCTGCCAGTCCCGCGGCGACGCGGCCCAGTATACGACGAGACGCGTCGCTGCACAGAAAGGACCCTTACTATTACTCGGACATCCTCGCGCGGGATTCGCCCGGCGGTAACGGCAGCGGTGTTGGTAGTGACGATATCAGCGGGGCGTACCGAGCTCCATACGACGAGCGGCGGCCGTCAAGTCGCGGCGTCGGCGGCCCGCTCTATTGCCAGCCGGATGTAGCCGCCGGCGATCCAAGGTCAACGAGAGCACGTGACCATGGCCACGTGACGCCGCTAGCCAATCGGATCGCGCTCGACCCGTTCGTTGATCCGTACAGTGGCGATCGCAGTGGTTCTCACCGACAGAGACATAAGCTGAGTTCATTCGGCGGTGGAGGAGCCGTGGAGATGCCTGGACACGAGTGGGGCTACCCGCGGACGCCCGGACTCAGGAGTCCGGACAGGGGGTACACGGCGGCGGGCGCGGGCCACCCGGCGGGCGATGACACCGGCCGCTACTGCCCACCCTCTCAGTGGACTCATTAGCGCTGATGGGAGGCGCTGAGTGAAAATAATCAAACGCGCTGATAAGGCGCAGACTGCTGGAACCGTTGACGGAGTTCTCAGTGACTCGGTGGCGTGGAGCGGTGCGCACACCAGTGATAGGCTATTAACACTATGAATTTGTTTGAGAGCGCTAATGGTGAGATATGTGCATGTATCATTTTGTGATTTAGCGTTAATTTGTTGCGTATCAAGCTCCATAAAGCGACTACCCGCGCGGCAAAGACAGCTTGGTGTTTGCACTTTTATACGATTTATTTTAGATGTTCGTTAAAGCCTGGGAGGTGTACGGGAGACATGTATCTACTCTGGATGGTCCGTTTTTGTCTACCGAAGCTGTGGCTATTCGTAATTATGAAATTATTACCACATTTATGAAGGGCATATATCGGCATGTGCTCTTACGTGTCTAGAAACATAGGCATTATGATTGTCTAATTTTAATATTCGCAGTTCCGAATGATGCATCATATTCAGTGTCATATTTTACATGCCTGTAAGTCAAAATTCCCAATAATGCCGTCAAATGCATCAAGTTCTCCTGTCGTGCAGCAGCTGCGCTCCCCGCCCCGCCTCCCCCAGAGCTGCGATGTCTCCCGTGCCCGCCCAGGCGCTGTTCGTGAACCGGTTCCACCGGCCGTCTCGCGCGCGTGCCGATGTCTCCGCGTTTGTGTGTGGTCGTCGCACGCGTCTGTCCCGCCTCCATCTCTAGTCAGACTGATTGACCGATGTACCCAGGCTGTGATAGCCGGCCCCCACTCGCAGGTCGGTCCCGGCCGGGACGCCGCCGCCCGGCGCACAGAGCTGTTCGCACGTCCCGATAATACACACTCGTCACATGCGGCCTCGTTGAATGCTGGGTGCTGTGTGACTTCGGGTGAGGCGATAGTTTAGGAGTTATGTCATCGAAAAACGGCTAGCAAGGCAGTGATCCAATAGCCACTTGCATGGCTGCAGCATTTTGCCTTTCTTTTGGTATAGCAAATACGTTGAGAAACCATACCATATAAACCGTACCAATGTTATGGCATGGTGAAATTTATTACATTTCTAAGACATGCGATACCCATGTTCATATTTGGTAGGTATACGCCACCCTTGCTCTGTTGCTAGCTACTGCAAACACGACAACGGATTCATTGTCCAGCGAACTTTTTACGAGGAGTCTCTGCTGTCACGAAATACGGCGTGGCTGGCTCCGACATAACCGCACCCGGCTGACAGACAAGCGACCTACGACGTCTCACAAACTCACACTGGGGTGTTCAGGGGACTGACAGATTCACTCTCCGTGCTGACATGAATGAGACCCGGCCGGAGATACGATCCGGTCCGACCACTGCCATAAGTCACTCTCAGGCCGTCAGACAGCGGTGCAGGGACGAACTGCAGGGGACTGGGTCGTCGCGTGCAAACATCACTGCCCTCCGTCGCAGCCGCCCTCCGCGTCCCTCCTGCGCCGCAGGGTATTCCGAGAGCTGCCGCTCGTCACCAGGGGCTGGGAGGCAGACGGAGGAGCCGAGACAGTATGATGGGTTCATAAATACGGCGCTGCGGTGCAGAACGGCCTCTCTAACCGTGAGCTATGGCGACCCTAGTCTATGGATATGACACCGAGACTGCTGGAGACATTGTTATCCCGAGAAGTACGGGCCCTCTCGGAATATCAAACGAGCGAGCTGAGGGCGCTAACCGGCCGGGCCGAGCCAGCGGACGATCCGCGGCCGAGGCCACGAATTCACGGCCGTGGCTGAGAGGATTCACGGCCACGACTAGCGGCGGATACACAGCCGTTTTCAGGGCCGGATCCTTTATTTGCTGACAGCGGATCCACGACTGCGACCAGCGCTGGATCCAAGAGCTGTGACTGGCGAGGGATCCACAGCTGCATGTTTGGTGGGGGATCCACGGCGTGGTCGGTGTCAACTCCACAGTCCATGACCGTGGCATGCGGAGGATCTACAGCCGTTGATGCCGGGCGGAACCACATCCGTGGCTGGCTGATCCATGGCTGTGGATGGCGACGGATCCACAGCCATGTCTTGTCGCTGGCAGCGGCGGCTCAGCGGTCGCCCGCATGAGAAAGCCAACGAGATGTTGGTCCGGGCCATGACTCAATGGGAGCCAACCAGACGAAGGTCATGAATAGCAAATACTTGCGGTCGTCCAGCGTCGGCCGACCACCCTTGGATATTAGTACGGCCATAGTAAGTCATAAGCTGAGTGATGTATGCCGGTAATAATCCGAGCCATCCGTTCAGCGTTATCTTTGGTGCCGACCAGTTTTCCTCGGAATGGCGTCCCTACATAAGTTCTCAGAAGAGAAGCCGGCGTTGGATATTGGTGTTTAGCCGGTATATGTATATAACCAACATTGCCACAACCACACGGAAGAGATTAGAGAATAAATAAAGTTTATGTCCAAGAGTCGTCTTGTCGCGAATTGTGTGAATTGGGATTAAAACAGCTCTGCCTTCGTCTTCAGACAATTTCAATCCGATTAGGAAACATGTCTTTGTAGCTTGTGGTTTTGATAATATGAGTAAAGCATATGCTGAGCCCCTATCATCTCACGACGCTTCGTTTTGACATGTTGCATTGAGGTAAAATTGTACTTAATGTATTATTAAATTTTATATTCTGATCCATTTCGGTTTTTAGATTTGACACAAACATTTTTGACGAATTGATATGAACGCAGGATATCGGTGTTTTTTATCTTCTATAATACTGCAACAATTATTGTCGCTAACGGCGCTGCTGATGCAAGCTTCAGTGACGAACGGAGCAGGTCTGCTTCTGAATTTAATTCGGCGCGATCATTCAAGTGCACTCACTCGATAACTTGAATGTTCCACAAAAGAAAGTTCCTGAATGAGCTGTTCTCTTACAAACGATAGTACTGCTCGCGATTCTAGACGAGTTATGTGGCGAAACTACCACACCTGAAGAGATTAGTTTTCTGTTGACTAAATAACGAGCACCAAAACAGCTGAACTGCAATTTCTTCCTGTAGATAAATTTGAAGGCGCTGTTAGCGGGCGGATGGAAGTCAATGCATAAATCCCAATTTGCTGGTTGTAACAAAAACACGCTCGCATCGTTGGTCTCTGCGAAGCAATTTTCATCATAAAGATAGTCGCCTTCCCGGCAAACATACAATGACATGTGCGTCTTCAGTGTCAAAGAAAGCATGGGTGATGGGTTCAATATGTAATCAAATATGTATTTTATTTTGAGTCATTCATTGCTTAACTAAGAACACTTATTGCCCGCTACTCGCTAGGCAGACAAGTATGTGTCTTAGACTATATGGCTATATGGCTATATGTGTCTTAGGAGACGCATTCCGATAATTTATCGCTCTCATTTCCATAACGAGCTGCCTGCCATCATACAATCAACTTTCCATTCAAAATACAACGAGCTCTTCAGCAAAACACATTATCGAAAACAAAAGACACTTATCGCCCGGCTTCTGTGCGTCGAGCGAACGAGACTGACACTAAACAAGAAACAGCTTATCTGATCTCTAAAGTGGATTCACATGTTTCGCCGGCCGGCCGTCCGGCTTGCCTGCGTTGCACAAGAAGCGGCACTGGCTGCGCGCGCAGCGGCGCCTGCCCGCCTCGAACCTGGCGCGCCGGCAACAAAAACCAGCGCACCTCCCACGCCCGCACGCCGGCGCGCTTTCACCCCCATTGTATGCTATCTCGGACATAGATCACGCGCTGAAGATGTCCACAGACACGCACCGATCGACGGCCGAACGAGACGAGAGGTGTTTGTGCGTCCCCCTCTGCCGAGAGGCGCGCTCCTCTCCTCCCTCTGTCCTTCCCTCCCCCACACTCATCTTGAGCACATGTGTTACAACATGTGCTCAGAATGACGTTTATTTTGCATAATTTATAGACGGCAATTCTTGCAGGACACGGCGAGACGGGGAAGTCAACAGAAACTGACACCAAGGATGGAGTTGAGGCGCCGGTTAAGTGCTAGCAAATGTTGACTCCATGATTTGTGAATAGTTCGATAGTGTCATGGCTGTCTTGTTTATAACGATGCGAGAGTTGCAGAGTGCACATTAAACAATTTCTCATTCCTAAGTGCAACAGTTGTTTGTTTAGGAGATACCACGGGTTTAGTTTAGGATAACAAGCGTTCCTGCAAGTTCTGAATCCCATGACTCAACGACTGATGAGCGATGAGACATCAAGGAATGCTTTATCACATACCTACAAACATTTGTAACCATCGCAAATAAATAAAATTTTGGTGAATCACACAGTCAATGCTCACCAAGATATCTACCATACATATGTGAGAATGCATTCAACAAGCACTTCCACTGAAGCTACGAGTCATCACTTTCTACATCACCTCTCACCACGCTCTGGCACTCCCCGCCGCCTTCCTCTCATCCTCTCGGACCATCTCCACTCTTGACACGACCTTCGCCGCTCAGTCTCTCTCGAGCTCTCGGTAAACTGCGGCGAATCACGGCCAGAACAGCTCTTCAGACAGGCCCGGGCGGCGAGCAACGAGTGGAGAGCGGTGGCCAAACATCATCGACCGAAGCTGAGTCATGTCGATGGCGGCGGAACGCAGGCGGTTGGCTCATGGGAGGAGGTTTGGAGACGGGCCGCTCCTTTCCTGAACGAGGTCAGGAGGTCCTACTGTCCTCAGAGAGGTGGAGGGACAGGTGAACGTCGACCTGAAGGGCCACCTCTTCAGCGGGAGGTGGAGTTTTGAGTGTCTTACTACATATTGGTGGCTACTGGTCAGCGGAGTTTCTTCCATTCTTGTTTAAACGGGTGTTACGGGCATCTCCGATAAATTCATTTGGTCATCTTATAGCCTATCAACTAACGACATGAGCAGCCAATGGCCTACACAACTGTACCTTCCTGAGTTCCATCGCCACCAGTCCACTATTATTGGAGAGCTTAGTAACAAACGAGGGCAGTTCGTGTTGAGAACTGGTCAGGTGGTATAATTCGGCCCGTCGGTCGGTCGGTCAGTCTGTCTGTCGGCGCGTATAGCGCTGTCATTTCCTGTTGCCGTCCTTTTGCGCCTCTATTGATCCGCGATGGATATTACCTCATTACATATACCATCCGCATGTCCTGGTAATGAACATGTGCCCCGCCACTTATTAGCTCGCGTATAACCAGATCAATCATGAATGCAAATGCATCGACACCGTATAATGCACTAACGATAGCATAATGCACTAACGATAACGATACCAATGGCAAAAACACACTGACATTGGAAAGCTATCCATTCATCTGGTCTGAACTATTGTCTGAATCAAAGTGCAAATAGCCAATACGATTTCATGCGGTAGGTAACAACCACTGAAAGACGTCTATTTTCGTAATAGCATTGAAAGTCAATAATCTGGAATGACACTTTATTATTCACAGCTGGGACATTATTACTCCGGTTGCGGAATAATGACATCTAGATCATTTCCGTACCAATAGATCCATTTGCGACACAGCCGACCAGAACGTGGTCGTAATTGTAGCCCGACCGCGATTAAACTCCATCGGCATTTGACACGATTCCATTGGCATTCATTAACTGAGACAGACCGGTGCGCGTGCGGCGCTTCCTGTCATTATATGACACAGACTCGACCGCGGAACGAGGCCTTGTGGTCCTATGACGTCATCGGAACCATACCGCACGGCGCGGCCTGACGGGAAATTATAGGGCGGTTTGGGCGTACCGCAGCGGCGGTCGTGATTGGAAAAGGCTGGCGGCCGAACACAGTCTCTAGTGAAGTGGTTGAACACTATAGATAGTCAGGACGGTCATAAATTGGCAAATCGT